TAAGAGCAGGTCCGAGGTGCCCAACCTTGGACGGACGACAGTAATTCCTTTACAACCAGAGTAAAGGGTAAATCCAGAGCTTCCCACTCGAACAGCTACACAGCTGTTACGATGGACATCCTTGCATCTAAATATATCTCAATCTCCCGGTCCTGAAATAACTGCTTGGAGATACACATCAAATCCCGAATATCTTGCTTGGCTCAATCTCCTGGTCCTGAAATAACTGCCTGGAGATACACATCGGATCCCGGATATTTTGCTTGGCGTCTTGTTTGGCATGCCGCGTGGATTCTCCATCGAAACATATAAATACCCCTTAAAGGCCACGCCAAAAGGTAATTGAAATCAACTCTAAGCTCCTTGTTCTTCCGTTTTAAAGGTAGCCCCGATTATTGTTGACTTAAGCATCAGAGTGCCTACCCCGAGAATTCACCTCGGGGCTTTGCAGGTCAATCCAGAGTGCAGATACTAACTGAAGAAGGACTTCTGGTTTGGTACAGTTACAACCACCCATTTGTGCAAGTGGATTTTTGCATCGGCAGCTGGGAGGTATATTACTGCGAAGAAGAAGCACAATGCGAAGATTGCTGATCTTTGTGAAAGCCAAATCATGGCTGCCAGAAATCAATGAAGCTGACTGAACTGGATAGCTATCTACTGCTATTAGTGCTCTATCTATATGAAGGGTTTCCCTGCCGCTGGTCGGTGCAACATTTACTCTTTAAAAAAAAAAAAAATTAATTTACATAAGAAAAACGCAAAATTAATTTTTATTTTAAGATTATATTTAAAATTATTACGAAGTGCGGTATGACCGTCAACTTTTCAATATAAATGGTTATAGGCTTTTGCGCATGCCGGTATGCGTACGCACATTTGCAATGAATTCTGATTTGAAAAATGTGATCTAGTACTACTCAATTCTCTTGGAATTAACATGAGTTTTTATAATTAAATTGTGTTGAAGAAATAAAAATTAATTTTAAATTTATAAAATTTTCAATTAAAATCTTTCATGTAGCATTGTTATTAAAATTAATGTTAATTTTTTTCAGTAAATTATTTTTTAAATATATTTGATAATGAATTATATAAGAAAAAGTAATTTTTCTCTTTTATTGAATTTTTTATTATTTGATTTAAAAATTAAACTTAA